AACAAAGAGGAAAAAAGATCAATTTGGTTAAAAAAGACTAAAGACTTTTTAAAAAATAAATGTCAAATAAAATATGAAATGTGTAAAAATTAGAAAAATACTGTATTTAAACTACTCCTATAATGATATCATATTAAAAAACAAACATCGTTATTTGTGATCAAAAATCAATTCAACACTAATATGTATTATCAAATATCATGATGTTTATTACAGACAATTAAGATCATAAAACAACAAATTTTTTACTCTGTTTTTTAATGGTAATAATTGTTTTGTTTTTTAAAATAAAGTATTTTCTTTTCAGTTTAAGAACATGTACATATATGACAAACTTTATTTAAATTGTCCATTTAATTAAAGTTTGTCTTTTATTTATTGGATAATTTGATGTTGATAATTATTATAAGTTACAAACAAAGATATTTTCCTTTGAATAATGCATTATTTCAAAATATATTTTTGTAATCATATTGTATTAGAAACTATTTTACATATAAAAATATTGATTTAATTTTTAATCACTATTCGTTGATACAGAAACAAATGAACATGTTATGAATTGTAGAATTGGGTCTTTTTCGAAACTTTGTCATATAAAAATATTAAAAAATACCAACCTTTGATATATTATGTTTTCATTATTAAAACATTTTTTAATTAAAAACTCATTAAATAACACAAATTATTAACAATAATTGTTTAAACAAATTCATTATTATTATTTAAATCCAAATACATTTGAATACAAGTATTCGTGTATAAAAATTTCATAATAAGAGCACCACAAAATTGTAGTACATCAGAAAATAGTCGTACGAGTTGTTTTATGGTATTTTTCTTTATAAAGTCGGGTTATTATTTTTTCAAAACCCGTTTTTTCCTGATTGTTTAGTCAAATTCTATAAGTGAAAAAATAATCCAGATTTTTTGGTTTGTTTGATACTAAAATCACAAGTGTACGACAATTTTCTTGCTGTACGACTATTTTTTGTCAGTCTATAATTTATAAATGTTGTGATATGATATTTAAAAAATGATTACACATTTAATATTTATTATCTATTAACATCACACTTGTGTTTATCAAGTGATTTAATATTAACACTTTCATAATTATCAATATGTAAAACATATATATACATTTCCTAAAGATAGTTATAAATCATTCAAAAAATAATCATTATAATTATATTCCAACAACAAATTAAACAATTGATTCTACATCAATCTTCAATTTTAAGATTGGATGATTAAATATTAAAACTTTTCATATTTTCATGTGTAAACAAGTAATTTAAGACCCGGAACATAAAATACCACATAATTAATTTAGATCATTAAAACAGACAATTTTTTGAGTTGAAAACAATATATTTGTTTATGTTCAGTATATTGTATCATATATAATAATAACCGTTATGTGTAATAATATTTTTATAAAATTTAGAAACGAAGACTTTAAACAAAAACAACAAAAAACATTAATATTTGGTTATTTTAATTGATTTTAAAAATTGCTTTTTAATTATATACATTTTATTTATTAATTGATTGTGTTTTTAATCATTTTTAAAACATACAGTTGAAACAATATTGAAAATAAACAGAGAATTATTTTTGTTGAGTAGAATTAAATTACAATATAACTCAAATCATTAATTGGAAAAATAATATTATTGAAAAATATATAAGATATAAGTAAAAGATAATAACATAATTTTTCAGAGTATTGTTCTTAAAACGTTATTTAAATAACACACAAAAAACAAAAGAACAATATTTGAAAATCTTTATATTATTCAATGAAAATTGTTTATGTTCTGTTTTAACATTTAAAAATTATCACTGGTATTTAATTTTGAGATTATATTTTATATTTTAAGATGTTTAAACGTTTTATGATATGTGTAATGAAATGCAACATTTAATTTACATATTACAATTGATATTATTTTGTCATTAGCTAATTGCTTGAATATATATAATTATATATATATAGATATATTTCAATTTAAGACAAATAAAAAATTGTTATAAAATATTTGTATTTTTGATTAAAATTTAATTTGTAAAATACATATATTAGAGATAATTTATTATTAAGGTTATTCTAAAATGTTCAAAAGCTATATTAAAACAAGTTCAACTAATTTTAAAAATGGCCTATGATAGTCAATCAACTGTTTATTTTAGTATTGATTGAAATTAATTCTTTAAATACTAATTATAATAAGTTGATGTATTTAGAAAATCATTAAATGTGTTTGACAAAAAATAGCAACAATATTGATACATAATCAAATTTATTAGGTTTTTTTTGTTTTTTTGTTTAATAAGAAATAATGTTTGGTGTAAATTTTTTAAATGATTAAACAAAAAAAAATATTATGTTTGTTTAATTATCTAAGTTGTTATAAATAATTAAATAATTTTATACATAATATCAATTTAATTGTTTAAAATTTCACATTTGAGTAAATTTTAGGATTTAAAATTCAGAATATATACATTGATGTAGTTTGAATGATGTAAATTATTTGAACATAACAGTTTTTTTTGATTTATAAAAATAATTTTAATTCTATTTGTATTTATATTACATTTTATTTTTTTAGCTTACAGATATTTATTACAATCTACTTGTTATATTTAACAATATATTACTGATTGTATTAAGTATTTCATTTAATTGACACTTTCATAACCCAAAACTTTTTTAGAAGAAAAATAAGTAAAAAAGAAATTGTCCAAATCATTTTTTATTATTTTTATTCCAAAACCCCTTTCCAACCCAAACCGGCCAATAGTCAGTTTTATTTTACTTAAAATAATTAACAAATGAGAACTCAATTACCTAAGATTGATCAAAAATAATCTTTTTGGATGAAATTTCTTATAACTTTATAATGTTCAATATTTAAAATAAAAACGCTTTATCGTCAATTCACTTTATGACAAACAATGTCAAATAGTCACATTAACAAATATAAACACCAATATCGTTATAATCAAATGACAATAAACTTTTTATAAAAAAACAACCAAATATATCAAACCATCATCAGACCCCATTTTTCTTTATAATGCTTTGCTCTTGTTTTACACAAACAAACTCATTCATGTTAAGTGTGACCAAAATAAACAATTCAAATTTGAGTTGATAAAAAAATAAATAATAATTTTCAAAATTTTGTTTTGTGTATGAAGGCAAAAAAAGGTTTAGGTAAAAGAAAAAAATAAAAATTAATTATTATTACGTTTCTGTTTTGAACGTGTTAAAATTAATGATCAATCTTACCTTTTATTTAACAATTACATTTAATTTTTAATAAATTAAATTGAGCACCCCAAAACTTTAGTAAAAATATATTTTTAATCGTTTTATTTGAATTTTGAATTTACATACAATAAAGTTTTAATAAATTTTGAGGGATAGAAAGATTAATTATTGTTACAGTTAGTTTCAAAACGATTAGCAATTTTTCACAACAAATCGATTTATGTTTCACAACAATTATTTTTGTACCTTTAATCAAACCTGTTTCATAAAGAATAATTTTGTATCATATATAATAAATTTGTTGCAATATAAAATGAGTTTGTCTCAAAAGAAATATTTGTGCCATAATTATTAATTATTGTTTCAAAAAAATATAGAATGTTTGCATAAATGGTTTTTATTGTTTCTAAACAAATAATTACAAATCAAAATAAATGTGGGTAAATCAAAACCTAAAAATGATTATATTGTATTTCGTCATGGCGGTCAACTCTTTTGAATTTATACACAGAGATAACATTGACCATTTTTTGAACGTAGGTTCAACTGTCCAACCGGATTCAAATGCCCCAACCCAAACAATTCAACTTACAGAGAGAAGAAGCGCTGCAGATATTTCATCACTTATACCACCACCACCACTCCCAACTCCTCTCGAAATACAACCAATTTCTAATTCTACAGACATAATATCCAAAAGAATATATATAAAAGTCACAGAATCGCAAAGAGAAAACTGACCGAAGAATATGCCGAATATGGAAAGACACGAGATTGGAAATACTACATGACAGAAACAAGAATTGGAGAAGCGTCTGTTAAACGTTTATTGGGAGAGCTTGAAAAAGGCAGGACATATCAAAATTCAAGAAACAAGGAAGAAAATACAAATTTACACCAGAAATGTTTCAAAAAAACTTTCCTTGGAGGGAAAAACACTACGAGAAACAAAGAAACTTTTGGCCGAAGAAGAAATGGAGAAGATTGCAAATGGAATTGAAACGGACTTTGAAGTTGTCTCAATATCAACACTATAGCGTTACATGAGAAACAGAGAAATTATGAATCAAGCCAACCTTCCTTTATTATCTTTTACTGAGGTGACTATTCGGGGACCAAGGTCGAATTCTATTGAAAACAAACAACTCAGAGTTGAAAAAAGAAGAGAACTACAACAGTTTTTGGACTCTGGAATGCAGGTCGTCTTCGTTGACTAAAGTCATTGGAAAGTCGGGAAAGTGAAAAGTCGTATGTGGGGAGAACGAGGGAAAAAAC